TGGTTCCCTGCTACCTATTTAAAAATACCCTGAGTAGGCATTTACTTGAAACCGCACTTGTTCGTACATTCTGATCACGTACAAACTGTTAACCCATTTAAGGTCCTCATGAAAAACTTTAGACTCCTTGAGATGGGAAGACACATTGCCATATGCGTCAACAAATCAGTGAGTTGGGCGCAACAGTCATAAACTCCAAAGGAGCCTGAGAATGATGGTTGGCTGCTTCAGCGCACACAGAGTAGAAGGTTGCCGGTTAAGATTCAGGGCCCGGTGAACTTAGGTGCTCTCACCTTTTCATCGCAATGAATGGCCTTGGACACAGAATCGGGACCAGTCTAATAATCCATCTGGTAACAGCTAGACAAAGAATCTTTACAGTTCACCAGGTTGACTCCGCCTCGATGTTCACGGTTATTTGTTTCAGAATGGAACTTTACCTTGACCATAGTCACTAGCCGGTGATATCCTACCATATGCTTGCAGAAATAGCCAACCGTCACTCTCAAGCCCCATTGGTGTTTGTGCCGGTTGCCTGTAACTCGCTGATCTGTTGGTTTGTGTCTGTGTCCACTCCTCTCACCGAGTTCAGGGTTGCTGTTTTTCTCACGTAAGTGTTAAGTGCTTTATGAATCAGCAAGTGAGCAGCTCGCACGAAATCCTTCCATCTTGTTCAACTACAACAACTGCCAAATTTCCAGGGGTTTACAATGTGTGCGCTGTCCCAAGCCACTTGATGTTTCCGTTATTATACACGTTAGCTGGAAGTGGAAAACCCCTCAGCTATTGTGTCGCAACACATAAGAAACGAAGAAAATAAACTGCAACCGAAGCACGCCGGCTGAGCCACCAGTAACGGATGGGCATCGTTCAGGAAATCTACGAGCCGATATTGTGCCACAAAAAGATTACATTATGCAAATTTATAATATGCTAGGAAATGAGATTGTGGTTGGAGGGGAGGCTAAACGGGAGTGGGAGGGACAAAAAACTCACAACACAAACACCACTGAGGTCGGCTTCTAGACATCTCAGCAAGTGTATCCAGCCAAACGTGTTCATTGTTTTTCGGACCCAACAAGCGAGCCGAGTGGCTCCAACCGAGACCAACTTCGAAGTGATAGATTTCATTCTTCCAAGTCATCATTTGACCACCAACTATCCTCTTCCATCAACACCCCAGGTGCGCAAACAACACGCTCCGTGAGAGCCGGTGTGCTAGCATGCACAACACGTGGCCCAGCCATCGAAGCTTGGTGCGCGAAATAACGGTGCTGAGCGGTTCATTTCCTTTTCCTGTGCCGTAAACAAGTCGTCGAACACGCTCGTTGCTCACGCGGTGTTCCCACCAGGTGTGAGCCAAACTTCGAAGGCACCGGTTGTTTTATATAACTAGCCTTTTTATGTCTGACGATCGGATGGGCCAGGTTTCAGAAGCATACAGTAGGGTCGAACGTACGGTTGCATTGTACACTCTACCCTTCAGGGAAATAGTGATGTCACGCCGACGCCATATGTGGCGAAGGTTAGCAAAAGCGCCTCGAGCTTTTGCTGTACGGTTTGTGACCCCCTTTTCGATTCCACACGCGCTGATACGTGTCCAGGTAGTTTAATTTTTTAACGGTTTCTAACTGATCCCTAACAAAGGGTCAGCGCAAGAGGCGGTCCCTTCCAATCTTGGAGGAAAACTTTGCATTTTTAGAGCGTAAAGCAAAGCCCGAAACGGCTGACAGCCAGCGCTAATCTGTCCACTGCAGCTTTGCACGTTTGTGAGCTGTCACCTATGTTGGCAATATCGTCAGCATACTCCAAGTCAAGAAGTCTTTCACCTGGGAACAACTCCACTCCTTATAAGTCGTTTCCTGTGGACACGATCTCCATGACTTCGTCAATAGCAAACTTGAAAAGGAAATGTGACAGCGGGCCTCAGTCTTACACCGCTGGAGATATCTAAGGGCGACGACAGCTTGCCGTTAACCCTCTCTCTGCCAGATCTACGCGCGTATAACGTTCGGATAACATTTACAGATTTCTCGGACACACGTTTCCTTGGCAGCCAGTCCCGAAGGGCACATCGATCCACCGAATCGAAGGCATCTTTGACATCGGGGAACACGACAACGATGGGCCGCCAGTAGATGGTACCGTGCTCCAACGATTGACACTGAGTGAAGATGTGATCGTTGCAGCCCCGACCTCGACGAAACCCGGCTTGCTCCTCACGAATCCGGCCTTCACGAGTGCTAGTCGGTTTGTGGAGGATGACAGGCAAGCAGTTTGGAAGCGACGGAGATCAGACAGAATCTTTTATTCTCACCGCATTCCGAACGGGAGCCTTTTGAAGTTTTGAACTATGACGGAGCGGCTGCGGTCGGTTGGGACAGTTTTCTGCTCCCACAGTTTCACTGATAACTTGTATAAATCATCAATAAGAGCAGGTCCCCCGAATTTAAATAGGGCTGGAGGAAGATCATCTGCTCTTTTGACTTTATTCAACTTCAGCAGTCCGATCTCACGTTCGACTTCTGAGCCAGAGGGCAGATCCAAAGGGACAGCCCACGGAGCAGGACGATCAGCGGCCGGCGAGGAATCTGACAATTTTGGCCGATTAAATTGCCTTTCAAAGTACTCAGTCCAACGCTCCAAGCATTTTGAAAAGCCGTGGATAGGTTATCCACTCTCGTCACGTATAGTTTCACTAACATCAGGTCTCCTGCTGCCCGTTTCTCGTATCAGAAGCAATAACTTCCGGTAGTTACCGAGGGCAGCGGCCACTTCCATTTCTGACGCACGATGAGACCACTAGGATTCGCGGTCTCTCTTCAGGCTAGCACGGAGTCTTGCCCGGTAATTTTGCGAGTCTCATTATGCTCACTTCCAGCTGGAATGTGTCGGCGAGCATCGATAAGTTCCAGAGACTGCGAAGAGACCCAATGTCTGTTGGCCTTTAGAGTTATCACATGAAGATTTGGCTGCTGCTGTTTGCACCGGGGGACTGCTTATCCAGCGGTGTTTCGCAGTGCTGATCTCATGTGCACATGGTGTTCCAGTCGTCATCTTTTTCCTTAGATGTGACGCGTCAACTACAACTCTCCTTTTTCGTTCGCTTGCATCTCACTTTCGTAATATCTGTTCCATTGTGATAATACTCCCGGTCAGTACGGTTACATGTCACACGTTGGCCGGGCGCTCTTCCAAACTTGCGCTCACTCCACTGTTCAACTCTCCACGCCTCATGGTGGTGCATAGCCTCACCAGATGAGTAACGCTGACATTTTCTCTGGATATAATGGAAAATAAACATGGATCGGGATGGTTAACTTCGTCTTGCCTGGGAAAAACGGAACTAATTTCCTCATCAGCAGCATCTCCCTCTTGATCTGCTCATCTGTGTTTCCTGGATATAGGGACCTTTCCAGCCAATGTGGCTTGTGGTTACTCCTGGTCCTATGTTTCACGATTACAGTTTGAAGCAGCGTGCTTCATCTTCGACTTGAACTGCAACCAATTTCCTCGATACGAAGATTCCATCGTCTCTCCCGTCAGCTAGTGGCCTCCATATCTGTGAGTCGTGACATTAAGATGCTTCTATTTTGTTAGACGATGACCGCGTCAATTTTCCGGCGTCTGTCTGTCGGCTCTGGTGGTTCCAGTCAGTTACTCGTCATGTCATCTGGTCGCTTTGCAAGTCAACATACAAATGAAGAGATAAAGGTTAACTTTCAGTTCAGTTCAGCTGCTTGACTACGATACGAGTTCCGACCTACAGTGGACTCTTACATTATCGCGAAAATAGGGATGAACATATACTAAAGGTTTAACGGAACAAAGTGATTGGTATACATAAACTTTCATCACATGTACACTCACTCAGACAGACATCACACGCCCGGTAAAGCTCTGTACGGCTGTTTCATCTTCTCGGGAATCGTCAGCAGTGCGCCTTACACTGGACCCTGTTAGGGTTCGAACCCGCAACTCGATTTTCACCAGTCCGTGCTGAAGATCACTAGGTCACGAGCAGCGGTAACGACTGATGTGACTTAGTTACTGAATGTTATGTGGCGCCGCTCACTTTCTACTGATTTGAACGTTACTTTTGTGCAAGTTTGAGCCGCACAAACACGCACTGTTGTCGATTCCGGAACCGTTGAAGTGTCTGTACAGTACTTTCCCGAACGTGTGATGTCTGTTTGACGGAGTCTTGATGTGTTAAGCTTCTACTTAATCCATCCAATTCCCCATACTACTCCCTTGTAAAAGGTGAGCTGTATTTGTCAGACGAGATTACCGGCCGATATGAGCACGAGGATGGATATTAGAGCCACACTAACTCCTCGACAAAGCAATGCTCGGTTTACTACCTAACAACTAATGTGATCTATCTTGATATCACCATGAAACAAGACGACACTCGTCATCCTGACTGACCTTTTCGGTCAAATCTTTTATGCCATGTTGTCGACCTAATCCTCAGCCATGTGTGACTTCTGTAAACAGTGCCCGCTGCGGATGCATGTATACAGACACCCAGTAAATTGGCTTCATCAGCCTAAGTTGCACATAGTTCGCACGCTTGGTTGTGCACTCACGTTGTTACTTAGCCTGTCCCTTGACTGTTGTCTTTCATCACCAAGTACCTCACCACTTTTGGACAGCGCACACTCACGATGGGTTTCTTTGCTACGAAAACAGTAGATGATCTGATGACCACTGTCTCATGAGGAGAACACTCATCTTAGATACCTTTGTCCGTTTGAGCTTTATGCACTTAGTATCCTGGTCGTTTGTTTCGCAACTTTGTGAATCGAATATACCATTCTGTCGTATGCTTCTATCTGAATTCTGATAAGTCATCCAATGCTTTATGCCTGCATGTGGTTACGCCACTCATTTCGCTCAGCTCCTGCTGTGCTGTCTCACGCCCCCGTACTGTAAATCACTTTGTGCGTTCTGCAAAATTCCACTAACTTCTCTGTTCTCATTCTTTCTCTTCATAGGTCCTTTTTTATCCATCATATTGAATCGGTTGTCGACTTTGCACACGAATTGTCTGTTCACTAATCTGCTACTGACAGACCTGATTGCCTCCTTGGCCGCCTACTCCTGCCCATTGCTATATACGTTTTTGCTCAATTCAGTGGGTCTATGTTTGAGGTCAAATGTGAATTCGCTTTTCAAGGTCAGTTGCGTTCGTTGTTTTATCGCTTATGCCACTTTGTCTTTCACATCCCGTGCGAGTCTCGCTTCTCAAACTGCACACTTGCTTCTGTCTATCGTTGGTGGCGAAAATCTAGGGGCTAATGGTAGTGTAAGTGAAGCAGCTATGTCCCGTTTCTGACTCTTCACAGACATACAGCAGTGCACATGCCTGCAAGCTGGTGTTTCGTGACTGTACACGTCTCCATCGTGGAGTGTGTTCGCTACCCACACATGTGTGCGCTTGTGTTTTCTAACTCCATTGATCGCTTTCAGCTCGCAGTTTTGTCCCGTGATGATTTGCACGTCTTTGTCCATATCCACTTATCACACCTTGTCTCCACTTTTCCAATTTTCCTCCTTCATTTTTATCCGATTTGGCCGCACTTTCGGAGTTCTCTCCGACGCAATAGTGTTCTCACGTAGCCATGCGACAGGCATTCAACCTGTTGATACTCTGGGTTTTCTTTGGAGCAAAATAATGGAATTCAAATGCTTGCATTGCGTCGACAACATTTAAATGTATGTTTGAATTGGCCGTTCAGCTCTGTCCTTTGTTTAACCTCGGAGCGGTCTATCATCAAACTTTAGAACTATGTCGAGCCTCACTCGCTCTTTGCGTCTACTAGTTGTAATGTCCTTTCCTGGATGGTCATGTACCACATCAACGATGTTGCTAGCAATATACAAGTGGACTACTTGACATATTGTAGGCACCATTCCTTGATCAGCAACGTATGCAGCAGTTTCGGCAACAGTACCAGACACTGCAGGTACATTGTACATGCCCTACTGTTCAGCGTAGCCAAGGATGCGGCTCTTCTACTGATTGAGCTCATCACTCGTACATTCTCAGGTTGTCCATAGTTTGCTTAACCAAGCTCTATTTCAGTAAAATCGGATAGGACATAGCCACTCATATTTTTCGAACCAATTAGTTAAACAATAAGGGAAAAGTTGAGCACCCTGCTTGCAGCAGACAATGGTGGCGACGTCCTGTATATACTGACACTATTTCGGGAGTTACGTAAGAAGGAGCTACTCCTACTCACCCCTTTGTGTGCGCGAATAATTGAGTCAAAGGTACTCTTCGACGTATGAAGTTTTTACCGTATAGACCGTCTTTCAGTGTGGTGTATCTTATCACCTTTCAATACTTTTGCTCTTATGCAAACAATCCAAATTAAATACACCAATTTCCAGGTATATTGCTGTCTGAGGAAACGTGCGAGGAATTCCTTCCATGGCATTACTTTTTTCTCTCATCTTCCCTTGGGTTCATCGTGCATCATCTTGTCGGCCATTCCTTTTGTCCATTTGCCTTTTTCGATCATTCTGACCGATCCTGCCTACCAACTTTGTTGCCAACTCCTCTGTTCGGTCAATATAGTTTTCCATGGTAGATCCTTGACTTTACCTGTTCATTCGAGGAAGGAAAGTTTTATTTCTACCTGCACCGGCCTATGGCCTTAAGGATCACAAGCCTGCCTTGTACTTTGGAGATCACGGGTTCTAGTTTGCGTTAGGGACCATGCGACCCTCAAAGTATCCTTAGCCCACGCACCACTGGTGGTGGTTGCTTGGCACCAAAGCGTCCGTACGGCGTACTGTTAATGCGCTTTACATGTGATCACGAAATCCCGACCCATTCGACTAGGCACAATTTTATGTGTCTTCTGCTATTGATTTTGTAACCTAACGGTGTTGTTAACAGTGGATCTTGGCGGAGTGCCTTCCAATTCACGGATGACTCTTGATTGTTACCTTGTATTTTCGACATCGCTTTTGCAAACACTTACGTATTGACCTACTCTGTTGTTGTGTTACATGCGTACAACACTTCAATCAACCTACAGGTGATTGTTCTCAAGTCATTCTGTACTATCGGCATCAGGTCTTCTCATTCACATGTATGACTGCTGTATTCCACGAGCTCACCAACTACGCGTACACAGTCCGCCGATGCTTGATTGTTCCTTTTGTGGTAGCTCCCTTTCTATAACCGTTGACTGGCTCCCGCTCTCTTGTGGTTACGTTTTGGGAGGCTTACCCGAACTCTTACCACAACAACACTCTAATCCACATACAATGTACGGCAGCGAAGCAACAATGCAAGCTACTAACGTGTTACTGTTGCCTGTGCTTATGTATTTGTGTTGGCTTTCCCTGGGGTTGCCCGTATGTTCATCTTCTATATGCCCACATTTCGAATCTTCTCATTGACGTCGGAATACGAGCAACAATCAGCGCCTGGACAGCCGCGTGCAACCCTATAATCCGACCGAACCTCATGGTCGATAGACTCATCGGAAAAGGCTAGTGGCCGACCCCTTTAACAGTTGGCACAACCTCCAGTCTTGATTCAACATCCACTGACTCACTTTTGGTTACAGAAGTACTGTCTTTTCTGTGAATCAACGCACAACTAAGTGGATCAAGCTTCAACCTCGTCCACTTTCAGTCTCCAAATATCATAATGACCACTGAACCGTGGCTGAGCGATTAAATTAGCGACGTTCAAGTCCATCTAAGTTTTAGTTACTCACGTGAGTGCATTTTCAGCATTCTACAATAACTACTGCGGATGGATCAAAAATAACACCAATACATCCAAAATTGTATAAAAAGAGAATGAAGCTGGGTGCACCTGTGTCACTCGAATAAACTGCCCGAATTTTCAGATAATGATTGCACTGCTGAAATAAATCGTGGGCATTTGCATCCTGTTGGTGGTACAATGTCAAAGCCTAGTTTGTCAATCGGAACGTTGATTCATTAAGTTACAAAAACGCCTTTTGATAATTTTTGTATGTCGGCTAGACTGCATAATTTGCAAGCTAACTGGGATATAGCACAACCTGCCTTCCTCTGTCACGGGCATTGGCTAGCCTCCGAGGTTTTGATGTCCTCTCGCTAGACGCTGCATCCAGTAGGAGACTTATGGAATGCGCACCACTGACGAGCTCCAATAGGGCGAAACGCGTCTGGTGCTTTTATGGACTAGAATGTGCTATGTAGCTTATGAACTACTAGGATGAATACCTTAAAATTACAATTAAAACATCTTCCTACTCATCAGTAATTTAAAATTCAGCTTCCCAATTTCAAATGCTATGGATGTAGCCCTAGCGAGAGGACGCAACCTAGCCACTGTCCGTGAAAGTAGGAGATAGGTTGTGCTGAATCCCAGTTAGCTTGCAGATTATGTAGCCCAGCCAACCTCCCCCATGGTTCAGTGGCTTAAGCTGCTGGCGAGTTGGCATCTGCCTCTAGCGCTCATGGTTTTGATCCCCCGTAGGGGACCGAGGGAATGCTCACCATTAGGGCGAAATATGTCTAATGCTTTTCCGAACTAAACTGTGAACTATTGAGGTAAATATCTTAAAATTTTTGTATGTGTTTATGATTTCATGTCCACAGCTAACGAACTGCGTAATACTCGCAGTATCTCCAATTTCTTTTAAATCAGTCGATGAAGAACAACATTAGTGACCTTGTACTTAGTCTAACCGTAGAAAATATCAAAAATAGTGAAATTGACAAATCCGCAGCAGATGGAGAAAGAGCTACGTAAAATCTGAAATGGCAACTACCGATTTAAAAGCCTCGCTTAGGGTACCTTGAAAGTCTCCGGTATGTCGCTTCTCCGAAACGGGTAGGGGGGGGAGGACTGATAGTTCATACAGTTCGAACTTTCGTTGTGAACTCTAGAACGATCCGCACACACGTGTCACTGATCTCCTTGATGTAAGCTATGGTTGTAAGGCAATGGCATGTGCCTTGGGTCCATGCTTTACCGACCACCCAAATCCGTTCCGTAAATGAACCACAGACTAATACCGTATTTCGGATTCGGACGAAACCAACACAGCGCTATCCTCTCTACAGTAGATTTCAACATTCATGATCTGGAAACTCCTGCAATCGAGAGTACAAAGTTTACAGCCTATCTATCTGAAGTAACCCCTAGCACACCCCTGTACAATCACACCATCGCTTTCATTAGCTTTAAGATAGCGGATAAGCTGTCGAGCAGCTCATGATTGATAGGCTGGATGTGTGCAGTCCTTTAGATAGAGGCGATTATGTGACTTTATTGCTCGATAACCTTTGTTTCACCAACTATCCAGATTCAGAGGCGGAACGATTTCGTTCCACTGCTCACTGGATTTTTTGTAGGAGCCAGTTGGACATTCATGATTTGGTGTATCAAAGAGCTAGCATGGAAAATATTTATAATGACCTTCACGCTGCTAGTCGAAAGAAGAGTCTGAATATACGTAGCTCCACGCAACTACTGTGTGCGATTGGTTAGTAACTATAACTTTGCACACCAACAAGAGGTGGCGAAATAATTCTGCTTGGCGGTATGCGTTTCCGGATTTCCCTGTCACTGCGGCCCCCACGGAGACAGTCATAGGACGTCTGCACCTACAGAGGGACCATGGGTGACTTGCGCTACACCACCTATATTTCCATCTACACACCCCATATCCAATGTAAACCCAACGGAATGGGACCGAGAGGCGTGTGGATGGGAGCCACCTTTCATCAACGGAGCCGGCCCACACTCCTTCAACATGCACAGCAACAGCATTCCTGTCTATATATGTTGGGAATCCTGCGTACCAATTCAAAATACAAGCTTCTTTACAAACATCGATAACCTTCGTAAAGTGCTGGCAGAATTCCGCCACTCATTACGTTTGGTATAGATATACGTACAGTGAGAGGTGACCAACGCCTACGGGCTCAGTACTCATCTATCTTCCATGGAATACAAGACTGAAACGCTATTCCTGTTTTCCTTAATTCCAACATCAAGTTTAATCAGCGTCAAATTCACTGCAGAAACGGAGTTGAAAAATCTACTATCCTTGCGTACGCACAACTCTTGGAGCGGATAGCATTCACCCAAAAGCACTGCAGGTAGCAGCCAAGTACATAACCGAACCGCTCTCTAGATGTGGACATAATTCCGTCAAAGTGGAAACGGGGTACCATCACCCCTATTTGCAAGGGGAGTAGATCTGAGCCTGCCAATCACCGCCCCCTAACGCTTCTCTGTGTGCGCTCCAAGGTCATAGAAATGGTTTTTGCGGAGTCATTGATATGCTACCTCGAAAGCTACAGTGTTATCGCGCCGAAGCAGCACGGCTTTCGTCAACATCGATCATGTACCACAAACGTGCTGATTGTACGCTGCAATTGAGCTGAAACAGTTGACGAGGAGACAGGCACCGATGTCATCTGTTTTGACTTTTCAAAAGCGTTCGACCGCTTGGATCATCGTATCTTGCTTCATAACCTTCAGAAACATTACGTCGGAGATCCAGTGTTAAGATAGATGGGCACCTATCCACCAGCGGTAATTGGCGGTTAGCGTTCGAGCATCCCTGTTCGATCAAATTCGATTGGGATTCGGCGTTATTATAATCTTCGGCTTTTGGGCCTCGCTTGTTCATGGTTCTCCATAGTCATTTAGCGAGTTACTACCTTGAAAATCTACCCTTTGTGGGCGACGTTAAGATTTGGCTTGCCATCAAGTGGCTGAATAACCGCGAAGTCTTCCTGCGCGATCTCCATAAATCCTGAGTTCCATCAGGGAAGAAAGCGCTGTCCATCACTATGGATAAGTGGCGAGTTGTTCACATCCGCAACCGACACTTACATCTACCGGTTTGGGGTGTGCGATATGCAGATTACCTCCAGGGACGTGAACTCGGTTGTTCCTGTCAGTCCGCTTCAAAAAGAATTAACCAGTGTGTTGATCTTTTGTGGAGGGCGATATGTAGTTTCGATTTAGCCATCTCTCGGATGCTCAATACCTACCTGCGTCCCCAATTTTAATATCCTATTTAGGATTGTTAATCTTGGCTAAAGCGGGACGTCGCAGCATTTGGACTCCTCAAAAACGGTTTCCGTCGACAGCGGTCATGTACAACTAATTTACTAATTGCACGCAGTAGTTGGACCGAGGCAGCCGACGCTGGAGAAGGTGTTGATGCGATCTACCTGGATTTTTCCAAGGCTTTCGATCGCCTAGACCATCGGATACTACTATCCAAGCTGCAGCATTACGGGATCGGCGACCCTCTTTTAAGCTGGATCGCCAACTTTCTCTTTCAAAGGCAATTTGTGGTCAGAGTTCGGAGCTCTTTATCGGACCCCATACAAGTGGAGTGTGGTGTGCCGCAAGGCTCGGTTCTAGGTCCACGTTTGTTTTTGGTGTTTATTAATGACCTTGCATATGGAATCGCTTCAAACTTCCTAATGTTTGCCGAGGATATCAAGATCTGGCGCAGGATCCAGGCGAACACCGACCAACATGTGCTCCAACGTGACTTAGATACAGTGTATCAATGGTCGATCCAAAACTTATTGCATTTCAACGTCAGTAAATGCAAGGTGCTTTCCATCCGACATCAGGGCAGCTACTCATACCGACTCGGAACGGATGTACTGCAACAAGCAACTCTCGAACGTGACTTGGGTGTCCTGGTTCAAGATGACTTGGGTTGCTCCAGGCAATCGGAAAAGGCATCGAAGACCGGGAACCAACACGTTGGGCTGTTGAGGCGGGCGTTTGGACAAATAAACAGCTCCATATTTCGACAAATGCTCAGTGCGTATGTTCGCCCCCATGTCGAATATGCAATTCAAACCTGGCATCCATGGCTGAAACCCGATCTTAATGCACTGGAGCAGCCACAACGCCGGGCATCTAAGAACGTCATTGGAATGCGCAATCGGTCCTACCAGGAGAGGCTGCGACGACTAGGATTGTTCAGTAGCAGCTATCGCAGGCTACGAGGCGACCTGATTATGACATACTTGATTCTGCGAGACCCACATCATGTGTGCCGCCCTTTACTGCAACTCAGCAGCAATACAAACCTGAGGGGCCACTCATTAAAACTCGCAGAACAATACAGTCGTCTGGAGTGCCGCAGAAATTTCTTTTCCATCCGTGTGTGTCACCCGTGGAATGCTCTCCCAGAATCGGTCGTTTCTGCACCGACACTAACAATATTTAAAAGATGGTTGGACGATGCACTCATCCACTTACACTTTGTTACTTAACACTATGTCTCCATCCTACACCTGGAGTTTACCCTGGAATTATTTGTTGTTATCTGTGGGTGTTGTGAATCTAAGTGGATCGCGGGACTGCAGCGAAGCAAACGATAAGTCCTTATTTTCGTATTTAAAGTGTTAACTATTTGACTATCCTCTTCATCATAATTGTTATGTTGATATCCCCACCAACTATCCAACGGGGCTTGTAAAGCAACGCTTCTTAACCCGTATAAATTCATTGTTCATTGTTCAAAGAAAAACAGAAAAGGGTTTGTGCTATCTTCCGTACTAGAAACGGTTGATGAAACTCGGGTTGTTCATTGAATGTTACCGGCGGCTAAGTGGAGACGTCATATTAGTATACTAAATACTGAGCGATTCCAGTCACGTATCTTGCCACCTATAACTCAACCCGAATACCAAACTGAGAGCCAATACTTTAAGATTAAATCAACAGCATAGTCGTCTTTATTGTCGATGAACTTATCTTTCCCGGTTTCCCAATCCTAGAGCGATCTTCTAAACTCAGTCGTATGTGGCTCTCATCTTAGGCTTTTCCAATAAAGCTTGAATATCGCGCTCTGCTTTCTACACCTTGGTTCATGAACGGATACTTTGGAACGTATTCCAGTTAACTAGCTTCTGTAGAATTATACTCCTCACTGATGCACGTAAATCAGTCCAGGTTGGTGGGCAATCCGATTGCTCTTTACACTGAGCATTAACCATATAAACATATTCCGTTTCGCATGGGGCTACCTCATTCTCGTAACCTTACTTCTAATATGCCGTTGCTCTGTTGCATCATCGATGCGTATGGGTAGTCTTCGAATTTGTTATAGTTTCCATTACCAACCTACGGCTCATGTTAAGCTTATGCTTTTTGCTCGTCATAAACCCCCTTTCCATTGCTTCATCTGTCTTATCATGACAGTTCATTACTGAGGTGGTTGCATCTTGGCGTGTATGGTGCCACCGTCTCGGGATTATTTCCACCTCATCCCGCCTGTCGTCATCATCATCCTCATCATCTTTACCTCCCCTCGTTTTCGTCAGTTAGTTTAGTGAAGTCATTTTGTACTATTGGCCACATCCAATCGACTAAGCAAGTCTATCAGCATTTCGGCAACTTTGATAGACCAATAGCGTAATTTTTGGGCTGATCTGCTTGTCCTATTTTCACTCGTGCTTCGCCAGCACCATCCACCTTTCTTCGTCCTCTAATTCACGGCTTTTTTCCGCCGTTTAGGTTCTTCGTCAAGTGAAAAGCCAGCTCACTGCTAGTGCCGCCTCCGTGGAGTCATGGCACTCACTGGTTTATCGCGCTCGTTTGTATCTTCACAGCGGACTTCTCTACTCCACAGACACTGTGGTTGATCCCCGATTCTACACCATGGACGGTCAGGAAGCTTCCCTCTCTCCTTCGCTCTTGGCTTGCTCATCTCCGCGCAATTCATCTAGGGGAAGTGAGTCATTACTTTGGTTCCCCTTCATTGTCTGTTGTTGCTGCGGCATGCAAACTAATCACTCTCAGTTACTTTTCTTTTCGTTGGCTTTCCATCTGACCTGCTTGTACCTGACTCCCTGAAAGGGAGGAATGCTCACTCGATCGAGACTATCCCAACTTCCCTGTAGCTTTTTGGATGACTTGCTCGTTTTCAGGATGTAAACCAGTTTACATCCGAGTGGCGCCCCTAGCGTTTTAGGATTACTTCTCGTCGAACTGCCTCCCCGGAGTACTTAGACATTTTTGAAATCGCTTGAATACCTTGCCCTCTGAATGATAATGACCACTTAGCAGTTTTGATCATCCGAAAACATCTACTACCCGTTTCTCTCTCATGAACTTCAGTTCACGGACCAATGTTATCTTCGGCATACTTGCATCGTCGAAAGCGATGACTACGGATGTTGGCAATCACATCTTTTCACATACCCTGGAAAATCTTCAGCTAGGGCCACCGCCTGCTAAATGTCATGTGACACCTGCTCTCGGTAATGCGCTCCACGACCAGTTTTGTATTTGAATGCACTCATCAGACAGAGAGCAAGAATTCGCATTAAGCCCGCGACCTTCGGGATGTCAGTCGAAACCTATGCTCCGAGCCGCTACTATTTGCGCTCGATCGCTGAGGTCGTCGCATATTATGAGCAACGCTACGGTGTTGTCATGACTTTTACTGTAGCAGTTTGTGGCATGGTGCTCATGTGTTTTTCGAGCGCATTTGTGTTCAATCTTTCAGAACTCACCACAAATCATTCCATTCCCATGCCTCTCATACTCATCAATTCATTCCACATTCGTTGGTCGCACACTTCGAAGTTGCTGTCTTGCTTTCATTTACGTTTATATCTATTCTCTCACCCTTGTCTCACTAGGTCCCTCCGGTTACCAAAGTATCATGAGACCTTTGCACGAAGTTCGCACTGTTTGGTTACCTTTAACTGGTGAGTCAATACAACAAGGTGATGCGGATGGGCTTCAAAACAGAACATCGACCTCACCTTCTTCATCCGAATCTCGAAAGCCTTGTACAAGATCGTCTATTGGCGATTCTCCTGCAATCCCCCTGTTCCCTGTACAGTTATCGATGCGCCGTGACTCAAGCCAGTCCACTCGCCGTTCCTCTTTGACCCCCTCTTCTTCCCTTCTTCCGACCCCCTTTTGGAATATTTCTGTTAATCTTAAGCGCACACCTCCCGCTTCCAAACAGACGTCTCCACTGAGATCCCAAAGTTCGCGACCTTTGTCAGCTGTCCGCAAGCGCTTCTTTAGACATGCGGATCAGTTAGTCCATCGATCAACCAGTTCTGACCGCGACGATCGTGATCCTGCGCAATCGGATCTGAATACTCGGACTAGGAATTTAGTGTTCGGAGCCATCATATTTGACGAGTTTTGCACTGAATTGGCCGCATTGTCTTACCTTCACAGCATGCATGCCGAAGTGTTCAGTGCTTTCCCTTCTTCCACAGAGAGCTATGGCTCCAAAGGATAGATTCTAACAGTTTTGTACATCAGCCGCTATTTTTTGACACCTGTGTTCCCATATAACGATAAGATTCACTTCACTGAGTTGTTTCTTCCTCGTCCACACAGATTCCTTCAATTTCCACTTTGGCTTATAACAGTGCTTCCACATTCTTAGTTGTGCAAGTCGATCAATCCCAGTTTTCATGAGAGATCCATTTCCGGATTGATTATTTTCTTCGGTTCATTGCTTTCAGATATTTCTCACCTTCCTGTGTATTTCTATTTATTGCTTTACTGATTGAATTGGGTTTCTTACACCTTGCCACTTGTTTGTAGTCATATTTCACACTGGCCGCACTTCGTGGGAAGAACAGATGGCATAGTGCGACTGATGGTCGCGATGTGGCTATCTTTACTTACATATTCCTTAAACGAAAGAGCTACGGATGCATTTATGCGCGAGCTTTGGCTGTGTTATTCCAATTATGTTCTCTGAAGTATGACTTCCGATTTTATGGAAGATTTTCAAAGCTGAGGCGTATTTAAGCAGCTAACTAGCCGCCAAATTTACTGTCAATGGCCTTAAGGCGGCGATGCCATCGTAGCTAAACGACGCAAACATTGGCGTGCATCTGCGTTCTTCTGGGCCAAGTTTTCCGAACTTCGAATTTTGTTGTCAGCTGCTGAGGCTGCTTGCTATCTTTTTAAGAACATCTTTTTGTACACGAGATCAGGGTGAAACTGCTTACACTGAAATAGTAGCCACAGAGGGTGGACGTATGTCATATCTAACATCGGCGTCTAGGATGACGAGACAGCAACGGATTGGCGCCATACCGTTAACGTTTAATCACAGAGACCTGCAATCAGGTAGGAAAGTATTAACATTTCGTAGTGCTGCTCCCCGAGCAGGTCGTTTGACCTTGAGGTAACCCGAACCCTATTTATTCATATTAGTTGATTTCGTTTGTGACTATGGTGTGTACGGTTCAACGCTGTTACCACCGGTTAGTAGTACGGCGCTTCGCTGACGCGCGACCACTACCAGTCGCGCGCGGGCTGAGTATACTGCGAGGACGCCGCACCCTACGCGGATTCGAACCGGGGACCTTATGGTTGCAAACCAGGTGCGCAGACCACTAGGCCACCGGCCGACTAACCACCGGTTAGACGCAATTAAATTGTGTTCAAACGGTTATTCTTAAAGCTTCTACCAGTTAATGTATTAGAAAACATTCCATGGAACTTAGTGGTTAAACCACTCACCTTAGTGTGCTTTCATACGAAAGGGAGGTTCGTTTAGTAGCTTGGCATAGGCCACCTTCTATCGATGTTCTGTTTAGTGCGCTTTGCGCCATGACAATTATTTTGGCTGAAATGGTGCACGTAAGTTCGATGCTCTTCATGCAGCCGTAGCCACCCAGCGATTCCTTGTTCTTTCCTAGTTTCACTGGTGCTACTAGGATGCGAGAAGTTCCGAGTAGTCCACTCTCTTTTAATCCACTCTTAGTTGTTTGAATGACATGGCGACGCTGACACCATATGCACACTTCGAATCGTACACGCATTGTTTTCACTGTTAGTTCGAAAAGATTCCATGCCTAGTCATCGTGCTACTTTGGCCATTGTGTGCTTCACATATGCCGTCGACTGTTTAATGACCTCTGACTCCTACAACTCTTGTGTTCGCTGTGCTGAGCAGCAGCTACGATTGTGGTTGGTATTGGAGTAACCTGGGTCAGTGTTTCCTACTCAATGTATTTTGCGTGTGAATAGGTTCCGGGGGTTCACACTTTCCTCTTAGTATATTTCACAGTTGAAGGCCGTTTTTCTCAAATTTGGCCACGAAAAAACGTGGAAATTTGACTGATTGTGTTGAACTTGCGAATTCCCACAAACATTAAGACAGCGTTCGTTAGTAAATAGTGTCAGTAGGCAGCAGTTTTACCTCCGACCTTTGCGTAATAGAGCAATATTGCACTGACGATCTGATGTGCAGCCTGCTTTTAACATAATTTTCCATGAACCTGGATTGATTGTGTTTGAAAGATTGAAAACGTGCGGCTTTGTAAACATTGCAGGTTCTCACTACCTTCACTCGTAAGAAATCATCTCAGGGTACCGACCACCACTAACTTAGTCACGTTGGCTCAGTCTGTTCTTGTTTAAGTAATTCAATTTTATTACTCTTGCGTTATGGACGAATTCCTTCGTCGAAGTCATCAATCGTGATTTCGGGCAGTGGTTTCTTCAAGTTATCTGGAATGGCCGCTTCTTTGGCGATGGATGCAGAATTAGTTATTCACCATCCTCTTTCGCTGTTTTTGTACTCCTCAGTTCCGACGGATCATCTACAGTTGTCTGTAAAAGCAATGCGCACGAATACATTACTTACGTAGCGGCGCCCAAACACCACAGCATGCCTATCAGACATGGACTAACAAATGGTGCATTTGTTCAATCAGTTGGTTCTGTAGAATTTATTAATGTACAGCTCATGGTTCTTGATGTGGTTTCTCATTTTGTTTTACGCTCTAAAATTCAGAGCTCTATTCTTCATCCCTGAATGGCAGACGCGTTGCGGTATTAGTTGTAAGGGGCCGGAGCGAAACCCCTCTCCTTCCGTCTTCCAGATTGATCGTCATGGGCATACTTTTGGCCAGACATATCAATATATATGTCTTTATTTGATTATCCACAATTAGATTACAAGCCGCATAGTGGATGCGCGCCACTGACTAGCCTCGATCGGACGAAACATTTGTCTAGTGCAGGGGTCACCAAACTACGGCCCGTGGGTCGGATCCAGCCTACCGACTGTACCCCATTTTGCTTGTTAAATCGTGTGGAATGCAGGACGCTGTAATACGGTTCACCTTTAGCACTCTGTCGTCTTGTCCGTGACCTTGTACTGTTTGAACACTAGCGTGAGCCATCTCATGATTGTTACTCGTGAAACCGTACTCATAGTGACCCCACATCGTCAGAAAAAGTATGTGAGTGATCACGCCTGAAACCCATCCATCGGTGCACCCCAACACGTTTCTGCTTACCTCGCACCTTTGTGACTCAATTTTCCGTTGGTCAGCTCCACTGAAGCACGTGTTATATGAAACGCCGTTTGTTACGGCACCACTAGTTTATGTATGTCCAATTCGGGTGTCCTTACTACGAGTCGGGACTAACTTGGTTGGACCCTAATTCCATTTCGGTTCCGGACCATCTGTACTTGCCATCGTGGTCCGTGTTTATTCAAAAATGAATACAACTATGGAATCCTTAAACGTAAATGCATCTCCCCGGGAGTTACAAGAATACATGGAAAGATTCGAGCTATGGTGGCTCACTAAAGGGGACTCTCGCGAAGACCTTAAAGGCGCTCACTTTTAACTGATGTTAGGCGTGAGGCCTATTCACTCCTGAAGAACCTGGCTTATCCTTAGCTACCGCCGAAATTGTCTTATGAAAAGTTGGAGGACTTCATTTTGACTCATTTTTTACCGGAAAATTGTGTGGTTTCCGAAAGGTAAAGTTCAACTTACTGATGCGTCGACCTAATCAATCTGTTCGCGATTTCATCCTCCAACTTCATCCTCAAGCTTCATCTTGTGCATTTGGGGATAAGCTTAATGAATACCTGAGAGATCGCCTGATTGCTGGCATAAATAATCCTGATTTATGTCATCAGCTCTTACCATTTCCAGCACCGACTTCTAATCAAGTGAAGTCCATCTGTTTCTGAACTTACAAAACCCCAGAAGACTACTGTTGTTCAGCAAGTTTTCTTTGGCTTAACCAAACGCCGAGTTCATGCCGAAACAAGGAAACAGTGGCAATCTAACGCGCTTAAACCTCCCGGCATTGCTCGATCGCACGCCCAAAAGAATTTAAAGTGTGGTCAAGTCGACAAAGAGTGGCATATGTGCTCCTTGTGGAAAGCTGCATTCCCGGTATACTTGTCCGCATCGGAATTCTAAATGCCATCAGCATAGAAAATTCGGACATATCCTCAGTATTTGCCGTCAACTCAAACGTTGTAATATAGTGAAAAAAGTTGATGATGTCTCTGTGAATTTGCTAAAGGATTCCCGTTCGTTAACGCTGGCTGATGTTGGGTGGCGCCTGGGATACTAGTCTTCAATCAGTGACACGTAAGAGACGTGTCAAATACGAGACAGTATAGAAGCTAGAGGCGACTAAACCCAACGTGTATTGCGCAGGCTACAAAAATAGGAAGCGAACCGACCAGAGCGAGAAACGGTGCTGCAAGATACTCATTAGGACAGTGATTAACTGTAATTTTCTTTGTTCCATGATACCCCAATTTGCTTACTTCCATTGACAATTTGGTCAAAAGTCTGCAAGGATCAACCAGTATCTATAACCCTCCTGCTCCTTTTTCTTCAATATCCACTTTGTCACTGTTCAAAATGGTCAAAGAATAGTACAGACTAGCCTAATGACTGACTGATTCGCAAAGCCGTAATTATTTCTTATATAGGACAGCGCACAGCATTAACGAATTCATCTGAACAGGGAAATTTAGTCCTTCCATCGTATCTACACCCTCATCGCTTAGCTTTCAGATTTAACTTATTAGTTCCCAACTCTTAGACCCCTGGGTCCGTGAAAAATATTAGGCTTTTGAAAGTTGAGGTGGGTTGAGGCACTCTACCAGACCTGTGAATATTAAAAGATGTTAGGGCCTATCGCTGCTGTGGATACACATAACGCACATAAGATAGCCTTAGACTTGTGCAAAACACTATCTAACTATCAGCTTTGTATGTACTTCGATGAAACTTCGTAGATGCCCGTTGCTAGTTAACGTTAAATGATGCGTTTTAACTAACCTGGGTACTCGCTACTTTACTCTGCCGTTTCCAACTATAATCGGGGTGCACCCCGCAAAATATTATATATTTTCCATCTGGTTGATAACGTGACCACTATAAAAACCGTAAGCCCAAGAAATAGCATTTTGCTCTCCACTTTTCCTCGCTTGGCCCCCATATATTTAGTTACATCTGTTTTCATGTGCCGATCACCATTGGAAACACTTGAAGTCAGGCGTCATGTAAACCAGATCCACTTCTTCAACCGCTTTTGCTAGTAAAACATTCGCATTACCAGTTTCAATTTCACTGGGGAGACAGCTAACCAGCAACAAAGAGGCCCTGTCACATTGGCTGGCTTGGCATCCAGAAAACTGACCACCGCTTCGTCATATCTCGACCGTCCCTGCGTTATCTTATCTTATACCTGGCTCCAAAGCCTACCATGCGTTACGCGTCATGGTTGATGAACAAAAATTCCCACCTATTTTACCTACTTTCCTACTCTTGTTTTACCTTACCACTCTGCTAAGAGAGCG